AATAGACTTTCTTTTAATGATTCATCTTCTGGATCTCCCCTGTCAGATTTAGGGGCAAAATGCATGCTTTGGGAAATTTGCCTTTTTGGTCTGATACCACTATTTTGCAAAGCACCTTTTCCTTTTGTGTTTTCAAAACATTTTTTTCTGTACTTGGTATCAAGCTATTTTGTTTTTCTGTTTGTCTTTAATTCTAGTTTGTAGTCATCCTCATTAGCTTGAAACACTAACCAATGGAATGTAAACTTTGAGCAGTCCTGTCTTCCTCGTGCCTACATTCCTGTTGTCTTTTATCAGTATTCAGCAGTGCTTTATTTACAGTGTCAGAGCTAGAAACAGCTGACTGCACTCCTAGTTATGACTGAGTGAATTATTTTAAAATGTTTCAAGTGGTTGAAATAAACAGAAATACGTAACTTAAAGTGACTTTTACTCATTTCAGATTTTTTTCTGTCTCTTTTTTTTTTGGTTAAAAAGTAATTTTCTTGGTAGTTTGATAGCTGAAAAAGTTCAGGTTTGTAGAAAAAAGCACCATACCTGTTAATCCAGCTGATTAAAGTCTGAAATACTTAGTTAATAAATGGTGCTTTAAGCTCATTTTGGAATTGCTTAGCAAAATGGGATGAATCGAATTATCACTGAGGAACAGGACAGTCTTACGCTACCACTCAGAATTTTAAAGACTGGGGTGGGCAAGTCTGTTGACATGTGATGATAATTCTTACTGGTGTAGACGAATCAGAAATGTTTCGAGGTGTTTGTTTGTGGTGTACACACAGAAGTGTGTAATGGTGTTTTAAAAAGTGATGCTTTACATCACAGCCCAAGTCATCCTTCAATTTACAGAGGGTTTCACTGGGCTGTGTCCTGCAATGCTGTGTTCTGCTACAGCTCTTGGGTTAGGTAAGGGCAGTATTTGCCATACTCTCATGTGATAGCTTATTCTTAAATGTTTTTTAGTTAGTCTTAATTAAACTTTCATTCAAGAAGAACAAATAGGCTTTTTCATTTCCCCTGTTTATTTCAGTGGTGTAAAGTGTCCTTTAATATGTTCTTAGGCTTTAGAAACCATTATATTACTTTCTGGTTACATAGCAAATGCTCTGTATATTGTGTTTGTAATAAGTACTCTGTATATTGCATTTGTAATTGAAGACTGACTATCCGTGAACACTGTTTTGTTGTAGAACTGTTGAACCATTAATCTGAAAACATATTGGTCTACCAGCAAATTTCAGGTGAATCTATTAGATTAGTTACTAACTTACTTGTTGCAAACCAAGACATTGGTGCCTCTCTTTCAAGAGGAACTGAGCTCCTGCAGTGCTCCCTGGAATTGCTTTTAGATATGTTTTATTGTCAGTAGTCCAACAAACCACTTAACAGGTGGAAAAACAGCAGCATTATCTGAAAAAGCCTTTGTCTGGCACGTGACTCTGAAAACTGACTCGCTAGCAGTCAGTGCTGAGGGGAGTTGAGGGTGTGGGGGAAGGTTGCTGCAGTTCCTATCACATAAGTAAAATAAATATGATTTACACTATGGTGAGCTCCAGAGTGTAGGATTTCCTGAATTCATACAGAAGTAAAATTATTCCCCTCTCTTTCCAGGGAAAGGAAGGATTCAAAAGGATTAAGTAGCTCCAGTTCTGAAGGAATAATGCTCTTCCCTTTGTTTTCTAATGGATGTATCTAGTTCTACCTAGTGCCTGCTTGCATTTGATGGTAACACTGAGGCTGAGCAAAACCGCAATTGTGATGTTTGTCTGTTTGTTATTTCTTTATGAGATGTTTTAGAACAAGTGGGGATAAATATCTTAATCTGTTACACTAAAATACAAGTTCCATATATATTTTTTTTTGAGCCCTGTGCATGTTGGAGATTGTTGGGGCAGAACTAACAAAACACTAAACACAGCATTGCTCTAAAGAGGCTGGATCTTTTGAAGTAGTTTAGAGTGGTCTCATAGGTGTGGCAGGCAAGTCTCAAAGTGAATGTGACTTGTTTAAACATCTATTTGGAAAAAGTCGAACATTTTGAAGGACACATCTGCTAGATCACAAGGGTTTTTCTCCGCTTTCTGAAGTTGGTTTTAAAACTTGCCATATTACTGAACCCTGAACCTTGCTTTTAGCCTGAACACAAAAGTTAACCAAATAACATTAAGTTTTAAAACAGTAGTAATAAAATGACAAAAACCTGTTCACCAAATGTGTTGCAAAAATATTTAAAATGCTTTTTGTGGGTTTTTTTGTTTTTTTGTTTTTAAGGGGAAAAATGCAAAATGTCTGTGTAGTTAAATTTGCAGTGTTAGCATCTACATAATAATGAAGAGAAAATAGGAATGTGAATTAAGCAAGTGCAGTCATCTGCTGCATGGTTTCCACTGGCAGTGTGACAGCCTGGTAAACAACTCACACTTTCACCTCTTCTTTTGTCTGCACTGCGCTTAACTCAGAGCATCAGTTGGCTTGTGATGAATTGCTGGCATACTGTAGAGCAGCACTGATACATTACATGTGCCACGAAAGATGTGAACTTTATTTGATGGGCTCTCTGTCTCCCTCTGTTCAGTGTTTGCTCTTTTTGGGTTCAGAAGGAGCG